GTGAACAGAGACTGATCATATAACACCGGGTGATACACTACCGCTATAATTAATTTCTCCTCCATTTTTTGGAATATGAGGAAAGGACCTGCGTAGTCTCTCCCAGCATACACGCAGATTGGCTAGCGCTTGTACTGGCAGATTTGCTTAAACGGGATTTGATTGGCTGACGCTTCTGCCGAGGCGCCAAAAGTTGAACGTTGCTCAACTTTTGCAGCGAGCAACGCCAGCGACCCTCCGCGTCGCTTCCCACAATGCAGTTCGGCGAAACATTCTTTCTTTAATAGAAATATTTCTTCTGCCCGTAAAGTGTCCAAACCAGGCTTTGCTGGATAAGCGCATTTTTAAAACATAGCCATTGTCCATGCCGGATTCAGTTGGATTATTTGTCACAGTTGCTCCGATCAGATCGGTCTCCTCCATTTTGTAGATTATTTACGACTTTTGAATCCACATAAACACAACGGCAAAATCCGGCTTACTTTGAGCATGTGTTTTAAACAGTTTAATCCCTTTGTGAATTGTTTCCACTTCCGCGCCGTCCTTTAATTTCTTCATACAGCGGGACCTTCCAAAAGGAGTCATTTGGTGGGGCTCTTGGGAAAAAAGGTTGGGAACCACTGATCTAGAGAATTCGAACAGCACTTATCATGGCTGCCACAGAGGCATGCCCGGCGCCGTGGGAGGGCCAGGCCCTCCCATTTGACATTCCTGCCCTCCCCCAATAAACACGTTTTTTATTATTTATAAAAATTAAAAAAAATATATATTTTATTTTTTAAATTATAAATAAACTGTGAACTTTTATGCTACGATGTATGTGATGTCAGAACAAAACAAAAATCGCAGGCTACGTCAAATAAATGCATGTGTCTGTTGTGATTTGTGATTCGTCCCCATTTATACCAATCACAGCGTCACACTCTGCCGCCTATTCTGGATTTGTTTATTGTGCATTCTGTAGACTCCCATTTCTGTTTGAATTACAAAATGGACATAAAAAATTGGCTTAAAAGGTCTAAGGATTTATTAAAACGAAATAGCGATGAAAGAACTGCAGCCGATGGTGCAGCTGGCGTCCCTGCACCTGCCGTTGCAGCAGCACGCCTTAATGTCACAAGCTTGACCTCGGCAAACCCCGGGGCTGAGTTAGCGATGATCTTGGGGTTAATGAACCCAAGCAGGTGAAGCTGGATTGTTATCCAGGGAGATTGTTTTCAGGAAAGAAGCGCACTTTTGCCGCTGCATGGTACAACAACAGACCATGGCTTGAATATTCGTTAGAAGCAGACGCAGCCTTTTGTTTCCCCTGTAGACAGTTTAAAGTAAACACGTCTTCATCTGATGCGGCTTTTACTGTCAAAGGTTTTTGCGACTGGAAACACGCATTAGACTGATAAAGGACTGCTAAGACATGCCGCATCAAAATAACACATTTCATGTGAGAGCTCGTGGAGAGAGAGAGAGAGATACGCGAGGAAACAAATAAGGAAATTAGTACTTTGGTGCAGATCAGCTGGCACGGAGCCGTTATTACGTGTCAGCTGTCGTTGATATTATAGATTTTTTAGCTGTCAACCAACTCCCTCTCATGCCCCTTTCACACCAGCGCTTTTTCAGCTCCGGCTCGGAGCTGGAGCCTGAAAAGCGCCGGTTTTTCCTGTTCACACCGCAGCGGCGCCGGCTCTTAGCTCCGGAATCCGGTTCACTTCCAGCTCCAAAAAATTGTCGGTCTAGAGGCAAGAGCTTCGGAGCTAAGAGGTGGCGTCGCTTACGTCTCTCTTACGTCGAGGCGTGCAGGAAACTAAACCCACCTCCCCTGAACACTAACCAGGCTTCGTGTGATTCTGTTTATTTGTACCTTACTTTGACCATCCGTTCACTGTTATTGATCATTGTGGAGAGAGGCAGACGTGTTGTTTTGTATTATAGCAGCTATCGGATGGAATCAATTCATGGGCTGCACAGGTTGTCGTGTCCGACTATCACAAGTAGAATCATAATAAAAATACGCCGGTAAAATGTGCCTGTAGAAAACGGTTTATGCCACAATAGGATAGCAATAGCAAGTAGTCAGTTTAGCTTAAGGTTGCTATGCTAACATCACCCATTTTATACCAGAGAAACTTTCATAACAGCGTTGTGATGCCAAACAGCGTCAATTCAGACTGATTTACTTAAGGGGAACTGGGGATATGTATCAGCTGCTTGTGTGAGTCGGACAGTGAATACTTTAGAGCGGCCGCTGCCGTGTGAGCTAACCGGGAGCTAACGGGAGAATAAACTCCCGTGGAAGAGCAGCCAGCACTGCAGCGGTCGGTAAATGCTGCAGAAACACATTAATAAACAATGAACCACGGCACTCTAGAGAAAAGCATAAGGTTGGAGAAGTCGTTATTTAATTTAATCTGGCTTCGTGTGATTAAAAGCAACACGATCATCAACCCGACGCAGTTCCCCGTTGTTGTGAGCGCCGTAATGCCGTTGGGGAGCAAATCAGCGATGTAAACGGTGACGTCATGACGCAGCAGCGGCAGCACCAGTCGGGTGCTGGGCGGTGTGAACAGAGCGGGAGCAGAAAAGGGAAACCGGAGCTGAACCAGAAAAGCTCCCGCTCGGAGCTAGAAAGGGAAAAGCGCTGGTGTGAAAGCCGCATCTGAGGTGACTCGATGCACTCCACAGCATGTCCGAGTGCAGTGCATCGGAACATAAACCATGCCCAAGGCGGGCTAAACAGTTCATCGTCTCCGTCTCTACTATTTCTCTCCGAGTGCAGCGATGAGGAAGCTGCCATCCGTAACCAGTGTGCCTTGCTCGTGATTTACCAGTGTTTGTGCTGCCACGCACACAATGTTTCAAAAGTGGTTTCTATGTTGCCCTTTATTTGTGTATGTTTGCGATAAGTGTGCGTCTTTGCGCAATCCTGTTGGCCTTGCTGTTTGATATAAATTGTGCCGCCGCCCCGCAGCACGTGACGGTTTTGTGTGCCCTCCCATGAAAATCATATGCCCTCCCTTTAGATTTGTTCTGGCGCCGGGTCTGCACAGAGGGACTTCCGGGTCATTTCACTCCGTTAGGAAGGTTCCTAAGCTAAATGGACTATTCGGTTGCGTTCCGATAATCCAAAAATCAGCTCCTAAGTTCTAACCCTATCTCCTATTCCTTGACCTCTGAGTGAAACGTTAAGGGATAGTGGATAGGAGAATTCAAAAGGATTTAGGAGAAGAGACTGCGGTACTTTAGAGAATCGACTGCACTTTCACTATCCGACGTGTTTATGATGCGCCAGCGGACGTCATGAAAGTGCGTCTGCTGCTGTGGGGAAACTATGGAAACTACAGTTTTCTATACAGCGGACTACAACATGGATGTTTAATAAGAACGAGGGACTACTGTAAACTCACCTAGAGACTCTGCACCGTGCTCTGATGCTGTTGCTTTATGCTTTATGAACGTGGACAACAGAGAAACATATTCTTCATGACCAAAGCTGGAATTGAAATAAAAAAGGAAAGTGAAACTTATGCTCGTCACCCTCTCCCTCCGGTCCACATTAATACAAATGATCCCAATACGTATGATTGTATGAAAAGATCTTAAAACCAAAACAAATGTATTTATTATAAACGTTAGTCCTTAACATCTATCACTGTGTATATCACCATTCAAACATCTTTTAAAAGTTGAACAAACTCCACACAGCTCAGTAAAGACTGTGAGATGTTGACTTTATTTTATTTGATCATTTCAGTAAAAACTAACGTTCATATTTCTCTTTGATTATAATACTGATGAACGTTCAGAAAAAAGCACTTTGGCAACTTACCACATACGTTTTAAAATGCTTAATAAGCACCGTAACTTTCATGATATCATTTCTCGGTCATAATCGGTTGTTTCCGTGAACGGCCGACTGTTGAGTGACTGCAAATGCTGCGGCTGCAATGCATTGTGGGGCAGCATTTTCTCCTCTCCTTTCGGTTAGGGAGGTCCAGTGGTTCCTAAGCTAAAGGAGGTTATAAAGGAAGTTTGAAACCTCCTTTCCTTTCATTTGGAGAATTGGAACGGCACTTATCATGGCTGCCACTGAGGGACTTCCGGGTCATTTCACTCCGTTAGGAAGGTTCCTATCTAAATGGACTATTGGAATGCAACCTTGGTGTGAAAGCGGTTCATGCGTCTTCTGTGATTCGATCGGACAGCTCGACAGACATACTGACGTACAGTAGGCCTAGGTCTGTTCCCAACTCACAGTGACCACCTGCTGTTAGATCTTAAGCTTTAATTATTCTGACATGTGTTTTGTATAGAGAAAAACGTATGTCAGGAACTGAGTTTCAATGCCGCATGGTTTGCAGTGATAAAGGGGAGCAGGGTATACATAAATACAAATTAGAAGCTGATGGGATCCCCTCTCGCTGTGAGTAACACAAACAAAAATGGCATGTTTACACCAGGCCAGACAGGACCAGAAAGTAAGGTCACGTTAAAACCAAAACTTACAGTTAACCTGAGAGGAAGCTGCAGAGGACATGCACAGTCCAATCAGAAGGTGACACTCTTCTCTTTTTGAGTGTAGCTGTTCTTTGCATCCACAGCTGGACAACAAGCTCACTACACCCACATGTTGTTCAGGTGTGAAAACCTGTGAGGCTGCTGTAGAAATCAAAACGTTTTATGAGCTAAAGACCAACAGAAGAAACCCTCTCAAATCCCACTGCATCTGCCTTGAAGATTCTTCTCAACCTTCACCCACTGACTGCTCCTGTATCACTGATCTTAAATACAACATGGTTTATTCTCATCTCCATGCACACACCCCAGCGAAGACTCTGCTCCCTCTAGTGGCGCAATAGAACAGTGCAGGAATGTGCACGTTTAATAAAGAAAGGGTAATGATAAAAAGGACATTTCAGCTTAAGAGATGCATTGAGTCAGGCACTGAATACTTGCAGCAGAGAGGAGTAAACGCTGTCAGTGTTGCAATATAACTCACCCAGTGTGAAAATGTTATTTATTTTAATCTAATAAAAGGTCTGTTTTGAAAACAAACAAAATCAAAGATACAGAACATTTAAAAGATACAGATAAATTAAAAGCAAACCATTTTCAAAAGTATATTTACACAGTGTAATTACAGATATGATTAGTGCCGATACAACAGGTTAACTGTGTGTTGTCCAGTGTTGGTGGACCTCTTCACCACTACTTCATCAACAATCTCCATGGACTGGTCATCAGCAAGAACATACATTATTGTGGAATTTGTCACGTAGTATTTAAAGGTCCAAACATGTAAATCAAAATGAAAAGGGCATGAAAAGAAGAATGAACACAATGAAGAATCTGCAGCAGCCTGACTTGATGCTGTTGTGACCCACAGAACTGTCGAGTGAAATGATTGGTTTCATAAAATCCTTCGCTAAGAAATCAAAATCACATGATCAGACTGATAGTATGCATTTACAAAAGATGAGAGCATCGATGTCACAAACATGGATGTAGAGGGAATTGATACGGCGTTGTAAATTCATATCAAAGTTACTCAGTAGCTCATGAAGTCCAAACATGTCTGGGTTTATTTGAGTATTTGTAATGGGAAGGTAATTTACCCAAAAGGTTGCCCATCAAAGTCTCTGGAGAAATGCTATAAGGGGACCAAGGGCCAAACAACAGACACGAAAGTTGTAATCGGACTGTTTGACCACTGCCACGATCGGTTCAGAAGCCCACTGCTTCTTTCTCCGATGCACTTTCTACAACCATGGTCGCAGCCTTCGTTCATTCTTCAGCAGTCACATGCCATCAGGAGCGAGCACTGGCTCCTAACTCTGATGTCCTTTTCTCTCACACTCAGTAATAATCTAAACTCACAAATGGGTCTGGTGTCACTAACACTAAGAACAACAGCTACATGGTTATGTTAGTGTACTGTAGTTAGCCAACTCAGAATAACATTAGCATTGGTGTTGCTCTAGCTAAAAGGAGCTAGCTCGACTTATATTGTAGCAGTTGTTGACCTTGCCAGTGCGGTTTGTAGAGAGAGTAACGACAGACATCTGTTTGAAATGGAATAGCCTCAAGTAAACATGTCGCAGAGCAGCCAATAATAACCTATGAACACAATTCATTTTGTGTTTTACAAGCACGCTCGCAGGTGAGAAAAAAGATGCCTCTTCGGACACTTTTAGCCAATATATATTTTATGGGTTTACCTTTACTGACTACTGTCATTGTTGCATGTTTCATACTTTACATATCTTAGCCTATTCATTACATATTGTTCTTACTGTACATATCAGTGCCTTAGCTGATTCATATCTTTCGCTTCGGTTTATTCTACATTTAGATGTATTCTATACTATTGCGGTGCCCGTTAGGATCTGCTACTGCTTTTTAGCCCTCACATAGACCAGGGCTATTCAACTATATCCATATTGGTCTGGGTCAGAAAGATAAGGGGCCTCGGACGGACATTTCCCCAAGCCATTATTCAGAGGAAGACAAATTAACCTACTCAATCTTTCTTTGGCCGTATGACCACCTTCTCTGTTTCTAATGTGTATTCATTGGCTAGCAGTTTTGATACACACTTCAGATATAGCACATGAGAAAGATCTATGCCTTTTTTTCTTAAAAAGGGGAGAGAAATTAGCAAAATACAAAATGGCAGGGGTTGTCCCTGTGCTGCCTGAGATTACTGTGACAGCATGCATGGTAATAAATGATAGGCTTCTCTCTTTCCCCTGATGGCTGCTGCTGCTGCTGCTGCATGGGGATCAGCCCGCTGGCCACCAGTAGAATAGACGTCCTATAGTGGCTGCTCCATTTTGTATTTCAATGAGCTCTAACCAAAGTCCAAATGTGCAGATCAGGTATCGCACTTTTCTAAAGAACCACTGATCCAAATAACTTCTTACAGTAAGTCAATACGTTGTTTGCACTTCTGGTTCATCTTTAGAACCTAAACTGCTTTTTCAGCACATGTACCAGTGCACTGACAACGAGCGCAGTGATGGAAGGTAAAGCAGCATTTGTTGTGCTTGTTTCTGTGATTCTCTCCACATACAATTAGGATGGGAGATATTATTTGATATAATGGCAGCTGTTTGTCCTACTTGAATGTATGCAATTAAACTGGCCCTTGGACCTAAGGAGCGATACATGTGCCAGGTGGCAGTGAGATGTGTCCCAACTCTCTCTTAAAAGGGCACTGGAGCGTACACACTTCAGAGTGGCACGGGGGGACATGATTGGCTGGAAGGTTAGAGGGCGTGGAAAATACCACTGTCATAGTAAATACTAGTCATGCGAATATGAACTAAAAACAATGACTTTAAGAAGGAAAAAAAAGGCATTTTGAAATAAAAATGACTAATACATACAAAATAACATTAATAAACACCATTTAAAATAATGAGATGAGTTTCAACTATCTCATCAAATACTTCCCAAATTATCAGTTCATTCGTATATTTTACACAATATATTCATATTGTTTTTTTATCTATTCAATATTGGGCTTCAGAGTGTACTGTGTGGGACAGGCACGTGAGACATGATGAAACAGGAACAGGTATGGCTTCAGTTTGGTTTCTGTCTGAACTGTTGCAGTGCAGATTATTGAGCCCGACATGTCAGTGATGTCTGCATTTATAGACAGTACATGACTTGTGCTAAACTAAAGGGCAATAGGGAGATAATATATGTATATGTAAAATATATTCTGAGGCTGCAAAAATATAATGTTGTGCTGATATATGAGGCTAACAGTGGCCTTAACTCAGATATTGTCTATCAAGCACTAGCCAGTGTTCACCATACCTGATGATTACCTTAATCAGAAATACTGTATTATTTTATTAAGTTAGTGCTTTGTGAGAAACAGCTTTTTGCTCCCTTTCTATATGTTCAGCTTAACTTGAATGGGTGCCTTTCAGAAACACAGCAGTCTTCACTCCAGTGCACCCTGTTCAAAGTATTCTAAGGTCTAATGAACCCCGTTGAGGATGTGATTGCGCAGCAGTTCCTGATCCTGGTTGTGCAGGGTGGGGTTCACGTCCTCGTCCCTCAGCCGGGCGTTCTTCCTGATCTCCTCCAGGGAGTAGTCCTGCACCAGGCTGCCGTTCTCATAGACGGTCACCAGCAGGTCCTGAAAACACAGAGAAATCAGTTTAGTTCATGCATGCAAATTAGTCGCTTTGTGGCGCCTCACGCTTTTTCAAGGCTGATGTGGGTGACTTGTGTAATTCGTGGAGAACCGAAGACTTTTCGTTTTGGGGGGGGGGGGATCTGACTCACGGACTGACAGACAACCTCTCACTTCAAAAAATGTTTAAGAAATCTAGAACGCAAAATAATTAAACAAGCAACTGCCTGTTTTTCCTGGCCAAGGACAGGTTCCTTGAACACAACGTGTCATCACGTGGTGTATTGTTGACAGAGAGCATTTCAAATATTGCAGTACCCATAAGGAGCCGTACACATGCCGCAGTGTTTGCGTGGCTGTGTCTTTAGTTGTAAGCACAGTGGCGATCTGTTGTTATTAGCATCTGGTTAGCTAGCTATGCTAACGAATTTAAAGAGCTTTTCTACAACCAGGTGGAAGAGAGCTCTCTCCTGAGAGGCTCTTAACCTCAGCTCAGTGAGGTTAAGGCACACCTTGATATCATTAGTTATACAAAAAATAAGAGAATAAAGTAAACAGGTATAAAATACTATATGACAGTAAAAAAAAGTTCTTATTAATAAACAAGAATACAGTTTGAAAGGAGAGTGATTTGTAAAATATCCAAAAATAAAAATAAATCTGCTATCATCAAATCTGTATCACTATTTGTAGTAGAGATGCCCCAATCACATTTGTTGCTGCCAAAGTGATAGTTTTTGCTGTTGTTAATTATATTCACACACACACACACACACACACACACACACACACACACACACACACACACACACACACACACACACACACACACACACACACACACACACACACACACACACACACACACACACACACACACACACACACACACACACACACACACACACAAGATGAATATAGGCGCTCACCTCCTCCGGCTTGCCTGCTCCTCTCTCTATTGTCTCTAGCAGGCCGTCAGAGTTTCTCCTCAGCAGCAGTCGGCCCCTCTTGGAGCCTTTGGATGGGTCGGTCACCGGCTGCTTGTAAACGTCCATCTGGTAAACACATGCAAACTAGTTAAATAAACTAGAATATAGAAAATCAGTCGGTGTGAGGATTTCTGTGTCTGTGGTATTTGTATGGATGTTCTTTGAAATTCCTCTTTAAATCAACATATCTAATATAGATAATGTAATATTAAAGGTCATGGTTTTCAGCAAAAAAGTGCTTTATTACAGAGCCCCACAGGCAAGTAGGAAGGACAGCAGCTTTACGGTAGACAATTACTTTATTTCCCAGAGTCCTGATTTTGTAGTTTTTTCATTAAAACCGCTTCTTTGATGAAATGGATGACCATAACAGAAATGATCAAAAACACTAAGTTCTTTAGTGATTGCATTAACTTGCCATTTTTGAGAAACGTGTCCGATTAGACTGTTGTTTTTATTGTGTGCCTCACATGCCTTCATTTAGTCTATAAAGTCCATCATTTTACCAGGCATATTAATCTGTTGGAGATCATCTGTTAAACTCAGTTAATGCAGTTTGAAAATCTCCCCCCCCCCCCACATACCCCCTTCCCCTCAGTCTCCACATAGCTGCACTTGAAGGCACAGCTGAGTGTGTCTCTGTTGAGTTTCTGGAGCAGGGAACTGCCACAACCAAAGAAGACGTTCTCAGCACTCCAGCCTTCATCACTCAGCTTCGTGAGAATCTACAGGAAACAAAATAAAATCGTTTTGTTCTCTTCACTTTTTATATAAATATTTGGAGAAGGACAGTGGAACTTTAAGTGCTTTGCAGTCAAGATAACTGCAACAATGTGTCTTTTAAAAGGATAGGGTTGGCCATTTAAAATATACAATCCTTTTTTTCAATAATTGATTGGACTATGACAAAAAAACGTGTATATATTTAAAGTGGGTTTCAACAGAGATATGCTCTGTTGTAAAGAAAATCATACAATTTTAATACAAACAAAAAGAAAGGAGGAAAAATAACCTTGTTCAGAGATTGTGCCATTATTTGTCTGAGTTTTGTCTATCAGCGTTTGTGCTGAGGTCTTGGATACAGTGATGACCTGAGTCACAGTTTCATAGTAAGAGAGCAGACGGGTTAGAACAACCGGAAAACTAAATCATCTTCCATCCTCTGGGCTGGGCTACCAGTGTTTGGAACGGCCCAATCCCAACAATGAACCATGTGAGTGAGTACCTTGTACAATTTCATCATGACCAACAGGATGATAGTCAGCACTGCCATTTCCCCCCAAAACTAATTTGAAGAGTGTCAGTTTGACTGTAGATTATTCCAATGTTTCAGTTTTATTAATCTAAAAATCAGTGAAAAGGAGTGCAAGCCTGCTATGCTGTCTGTTTTACAAAAAGCTGAGTCAGTGATCAAAAAGGTACAACTCAATCTACAAAAGGAGGGAATATAAGGAGAATATACACTAAATAAGATTTGAAAGAAAAGTCAAGATGAACCCAGACCATGACACCCAAACGTTTTCTCACCTCTTCCACTGAGACGAGGTCGATACCGTCTCCCTGAATGATCCGCAGGTAGGAAGGCAGAACCTTGAATCCCACAGAGTTCAGAGAACAGCCAAAACGCTCTCCAAGAATCTTGATGACCTGAAAGTGGCATTTCAATGGCTTTATTTTGGAGTTAGTTTCACACACGTTGGTATCCAAGTGGACGCAGTAAACATCTTACAACAACGATTAATAAACACTTCATCAAGTACAAGGGATCAGGGGTTACATTGTGCCCGGGCTGTCTGCGGCGGCGCGCGCTACAACACGTGTATTTCGGTTTATTCAAGGCATTCATTTTGTTATTCAACAGTATTGTTGTTTTATAGTTATTTGTTATTGTAAATAACCCAATTTATGTTCTTTGAAATTGAGAGTGTGCCAGTGTAATTTGGCTTGGCTTCCTATTTTGTATGGACATGCTTTTATTTTGAAGGCGAGTTAGTACTGTTGACAGGAAGTTGTTATTGCTATGGAACCAACGTGAAAAGGAGCGGAAATTAACGGAGCAAAGTCAAATCTACATATAAAGACGGAGAAAGTAAAGGATACAGTTTATGGTTAAGTGTTAGCACCCCCCGAAGAGGCACAAGCTCTTACGTTGATATTGGAGATTTCAATAAATCCAATTTAAATTTCGAAAAAAAAGAATATCCGAATAACGAAATTGAAAACCGAATAGTAGGCCAACGACCGAATATTCGGGTACAGCCCTAATATGCGTTGACTTTATTTTTGAATAGCAGATCTCTGCAACCGGCTATAGTTTGCCGGCTTAGTGAGCGTGTGTCTCTGCTCCGCCCGTGAGCTGTACACCGCAGCCCCCCCCCCTCTGGACCTCGCTGCGGCTCCTCACTGCAAAGAGTCGGCAGCAGTGCCCCCAAAACACCCGAGCCGTTGCAGCAGCTGCTTTAGGATTTGGCCTCATATATAGCCCTAAAGGTGAACATAATTATACTAAAGTGTGTAAGAAGATTGCAAACTGAGGGGCTGTAAAACCAAACTAGTCCTACATTATTCTGGTGTCCCTTTTTCTTTTGCAGGCGCAGTATTCACCCATCATTTAGTGCGTATAAAGTCTCAGAATTTAGTTTGTTTTTAAAGGAAAGACGGCAAAAGGTGGATCTTTTGGAAAGTAAAGTTGGGAGTATTATGCTCTGAGTATGAAGAAGACAGAAGTCTTTTGAGATTCCTCTCAGACCTCTCATAATAAACTTCAGTCTTTCTACTTTAGGTTTAGAGCTCAAATTAGAATGACAACTTCCGTGTGTGTTTCACCTCGATGAGGGTCTCTGCGGGGTCTCCAGAGTCCGGCCTGATGACCAGGCAGGAGTCCTGGCTGCGCTCCATCACACGCTCCTTCAGCTCGTCCCCCCAGATGTGTTTACAGGCGTGAAAGATGTCGTAGCTGTCACTGACTACAGACACCGGCCCTGAGGAGAACTGGTCCAGGACTCGCTCAAACGCCTCCTTCTCTCTGCTCCTCCCCCAGGAGATGATGGTACTGCATTACAGGAAGTAATGAACACGGTCAGTGGGGCTGGAAATACTCATGCTAGTTCTTCAATTTGATGTCAATGTCATTAACGGTGTATCCTCATATACAGTCAACGACTAATACATTATTAAACAGTTCATGAAGGATATTTTTTTGATTAATTATAATGTATACTTTGGAGTGCAAAATGTACTGGTGGCAAGAAAAAGTATGTCAATCCTTTGGAATAACCTTCATTTATGTATAGATTATTATTTTATTTTTTTAAAGGTCTGATCTTCACCTAAGTAAGAAGCTTCACTTACCTGTTCTACCAGCGCTGCTGACGTTTAATGGGTGTGTTCAATAAAGACATGAAAGATTGTTAATGTGTGTGTGTTATTAACTTAAGCACATTGTGCTGTAATTGCGACTTGAATGAAGATCAGATCACATTTTATGACAAATTCATGAATAAAATCAGCACGTTCCAAAGGGTTCACATACTGTGTGTGTGTGTTATACCTGTGCTCTGCTGCTGGAATGGAGAAGCCGGCCATCGGGCAGCTGTAGTAGCGCTGAGCCATCAGCAGCCCAGCCACGGTGTCTGTACTGCAGAAATTAACCAGGTGGGCCGCTCCACCCAACGCTGCAGACTGGAGAGAGGAGGTGGAGGTAAGGAATCACTTTACTGCTCAAATGGTTTTCTTCCATTTCATTCAAAACAAGTCGCCCTTTAAAAAGGTTCATAATTCAGCAACCATCAATCAGAAACAGGAAAATGATATCCAGTTTGTTTCTGTGGATTTGTTGTTGATGTTAGAGAGTACACTCAGTTCAGCTTGAGGAATGATTGTCAAAGAGTAATTTTTTACACTCAGCAATAACTGTATTATAAACACTGCTTTGACACTCCTCTGCCTCCATGTTGTTCAACAACTGCTGCCTGGTTTTTAAAATATGTCACGTCAAACTTTCAGTTGAAAGCAGGTCCTATAAGAATTTTATTTTAAAATCCTCTTAAGCGCTGTTCAAGAGATTAATAACCAACTTTACATTCCAGCTTCATGCATATTATGCAACACTTTCCTTCTGACTTTCATTTGAGTTCTCTTAGTCTGACCTTTGTGCCTTTAATCAGTAATGGGTCCACTAAGCCCAACAACAATCATTCTATATCGTCAGCATGCCATAAACACAAAGTAGATATCACAAGATGATCATTTGGTACATTCTCTGTGGAAACACAAACCAGGTACATGGAACATTATGAAAGGAATTCCAGGGGTTCTCGTATCCTCTGTAATAGTGATTATAAGGAAATGATCTTAGTGTAAACCCAGTACCTGTACATACAGTACAACATGGTGCAAGAGACAGGAATACAATGAGAAACTGTTAGCGTATCACTAAAGGAAAACAGGGGGAGAGAGTGTTGCTGACCTCCTGTGAGGAGACTCCTCTGTAGCCAAAGTCATGCAGTTTCAGGTCCAGACCCTCCAGGCTCCCGGAGGTGGCCTTCAGGTGCTTGGCCAGGATCTTCTTAAACTCCCTGGAGATGGTGGCTACTGTGATGGGATACCACATCTGGACCAGCATGGTCTATAGTTGACAGAGGGGGATTAGGGGGTTATGGGTTTTGGAGAGAACAGATGCCAGTTGTTGCAAAGCAAGAAATGGAGGATACAGTGACAGTGCTGCTAAACTGATCAGCTGTCAGGTCCAAACGTGTCTACCTAACACATTAGCTATCTAAGCCCCTATTTGGAGACCTTTTAAACAAAGTGCTGGTGAAAGGTTCCAAGGAGGGCTACTGGCCCACTAAAGAGTCCAAAATGTTTTACCTTAAAGTAATTAAAAAAAATACTAAGAATTGCAGTACTTTGCTTAACTTATATAGGTCAATATAAAAGTTAACATCAAGAGGTCTTTCCTCCTAACATTAACAGTAAGTGGTGGTGAAAAGTAGGTCCTTGTTTTGTAAATGGATCTGTGGCACACTGTGGTCTACCTCAATGTAGTTGGTGAGCCAGTAGAAGTCTGGGTCAGTGTTTTCCACGGTGAAGAGCACGTTGCCTCTGGGAACGATCCATCCCTCAGGGACAGCTTTGATCCGGATAGGAAGACGCCCATTGTGCTTCTGACGTAGTAACAAGCACATTTACTTCAGGATGGATGTATAGAGATCAATCTTCAGCTGAAAATATTTTTGTATTAAACTGTCCATTTTCAGAATGATTGATTGATTCGTGTAATCATCACATTCCTTTTCCCACTGGGGAATAGAGAGCTCATTCTAATGACTTGATATACTGTTGGATGTTTCATCTGCAGTATCTTTAGAGCAGAGATCCTCTGAGGAGGGTGCACTGCAGGATAGTAGTAATATACCCTTGAATTGTTTTTCACTTTGAATAAGGTTAACCTCTGGCATGATGATTTCAGTGCTTCAGTAAATATATAAATGTACTTTGTTACATTTCACCACTAAAGGGTAAGGGTAGGGTTTCTGCTGGGTAAGGGTGTGATTAATAACTATGGACAACTGAGGGCAGGCAATTATTACTGAAGTTCCAGTAACCACTGTATGTGTTGAAAATATGCTGTGTGGGCAACTGTAGCTCAGGGGGGTTAGTCCGCTGATCTGAAAATCATGGGGTCAGCAGTTAGATCCCACCTTCTGACAACATGTGTCCTCAGGCATACAATTGCAAGCCCAAATTGCTGCCGTAGTATTAAGTGTATTTAGGTTGCTTTGGATAAAAGCGTCAGTTGATAATAATGTAATGTGTATATGATGTGTGAACCATGGCTAACCGTGCAATAGGCCACTTCCAGTGATTTACAGTGATTTTCAAGAGCTCTGCGTCATGCCTAGCAGCGCCTCTTAGCTGTTGTAAAGTCACTGTATATCATAGCTTCTTGTGGCTTATTGCTTACTTTAAGTATACCTCAAGGACTTTCCTCCAGCTCTCCTCATCAAACACAGACTGTTTGAAGTGCATCTGGTAGAACAGCTTGGCTTCTTGAATCTTGTCCTCTGTGATGACTTGGCCTGAATAGAACACACCAGGTTACTACAACCTCGCTCACATGCAGGAAATAGAAAGGATTTACTCAACATCCAGAACCCTGGCAAGCCTGCGCTACAATCACCTTATATGAAAGTGTACCATTTCATCTCCTGTTTGTTTCCACATAAGGTTAGATTTATTCAAACATTGGGACCACTTTACAATACGACTACCCTTATAAAGGGTTTACCAATAGTTTGTCATTCATTTACTAATTAGGTTGTGAACACTTTATAAATCCTTAATAAGCTTTTATAAGACATGAGATAAGCAGGGCGACTGTGACCGGTTGCTTGCCAAATAGTGAGCCCACATGTATCTGTAAGTCTTATATTGGCTACTTAGCTTACTTTGTCTTCTTCATCAGCCAGCATCCTCGGTATCTGTTGCTCTGAGTTGATTCTCGCTAAGTAGCCAATATAAGGCTTAGTCATCTTGCCAAATAGTGAGCCTGTGTTGATGTATGTTAGAACTGGTTTATAAATGGTTCTTAATGATTAATAAAGTGTTTACAACCTAATTCATAACCTAATTAGAAACCCTTTATAAGGGTAGTCTTATTGTAAAGTGGTACCACACATTGTAACTGACATGTTAGGGGTGTGGACAGCATGTGTGCAGCAGTTTAAACACGAGGCACTGCATTGTCTCATGTTCTTGTTAACACTCATTATCATTTCTCTCTTCTTTCCTATATCGTTCTGTCAAATCATTTCTTAGATCAAAGGGGAGGATGTGAACGTACCTAGAAGGTATTTCTTCAGCAGATACTGAAGGCCAAAGAACACACACTCACTGAACTGTGAGCCTTTCTTGCGTCTGCATTCAAAGTAAGAGTAGATTTTGCTGACATTTGGAGGATACTGCTTGTAGTGTGTGATCTGAAGGACACAAAACAGACATGTCAAGCATATTTAAATGATTTGAAACACGTGCAATGTAAGTCTCATGTAATGAACCCTTATTATAGGAAATACTAATAAATCACTTCATCACACCAGAGTTGTATTGTAAAATGGAATCAAAGGAAACTCCAGTATGCACAGCAACAAGCTGAACAGCATAGGAGCATCTGCGTAACGTGATGTCTGCGTGTGCAGGAACATGTTTCCTGGATCCACGTGGGAACATAAGACGACAGTTTCAAGTACAAGTCTCTCTTTGTGCTCTTACAGCTCTAATTGAATAATCAACAGCAACAACCACTGGCTCAATTAGCTTCAAGAATACATTCTTCTGCTTCATCCTGTCCCCTATTTCCCTTTCTGCTTCTTTCCCCCTTTTCTATCTTCAAGAGAACAAACCCAGAAAGTTACAAAACAGGGAAACTCAGGCCTCTTTACTGGAAGCAATATTAAGATTAGTCATGTATAAGATTACAATACCATTATTTAAGTGAAAGGAAAGTCGAGGAGAGTAGAAAAGTAGTATTTCAATGTCTTTTATTGAAATGAGCATTGCAAAGTCAACACATGATGTTCTTGAAAAGTCATTTTTTGGCATGTCAGCGTTTCTATAGGGAATCCTGGCCAACCAGAGGAGTCAAATGAGCTATAGAGTCCAAGCTCCTTTTGGTGTTAGTATGGAGTATGACATGGTGGAAGGGTACTTTCACCTATTCTCACAACGTGTACATGAATGACTAAGACAGACTCTGGAACTCTCTGCCACTACACATCCCAGTCTGATTCCATAACAACATTCAAAACCCACCTGTTCAAACTGGCATTCTCTTTATAAACTGTACCCTGTGTCTTTCTGTACTCCATTTCCTGTTGTTTGTCTTGTCTTACCCCGGCTGACATTTCATTACATCCACTGTTAATGTTCCCTATATTACCCTATGCCCTGTAAGGTGTATGAAAGGCGCCCCCCAAATAAAATGCATTATTATTGTTACTATTATTAATCTGACCAACTAAGAGGATTTAAGAATATCTGTATGGTCGGTAAGATCCTGATGAACCATTTCATTTAAACCGATGCCAAGAACTGCTGGATTTTAAAAGCTGCTAAAGAAATGAATATACTGTTGTTAGCCAAATTAAAGATGGAGACCACATTGTGTAATTGTATTTAATATTCCTATTTCCAATGCACTCGTTTACTGCGGTTATCCATAAACAGACACACAAAAGAACGCTATCTTGTTCAACATAGCCATTGTTTGGTGTGAGCAGAAAACCAGTTTTAGAGTTAAATGACCACAACAATTGATTTGTAGTTAACTTAGGAAACTTTGCACATTTAAGTGTTGAAGTGTTTTTTCAGTTATTTGACAAATCACATGGATGGCACAACGCTGTATTGTACTTCTTTATATTTTTCCTACATTTCCTATTGAAAATGTTTTGCGCTGGTCTGGGTGTATTTAGCTGAAAGAAAGATATCAAATGCAATACATTATTACATCTTTTTTTTTAGAAACAATAGGATAGTGGATCTGATCAATCTTGCTTATGTGCATATGAGATTGGATCTCTTTTCAGGACTGGTGGCACACTGAGGGGCATGGCCACTCCATGGACCCTGTTTTCAAGGTGCAGAAAGGATGATGTAACCGGCGGGACATCCTCGTCAATATTCACCATGTTCTTTTGAAGAGGTCGCACCCACAGGTGTGGTTAAATAGTTTTACATTTGCTGCCGACCTGAGGGTGAGCTTGGTGTTACAGGTTCACTTTCCCTTATTACTGTGTAACTGCGTTTACATATGTTTTTATATCCCTGGGGATGCATTCACAACATTTTTGAGAATAAGCTGATTGAGCTCGAATAGTGGCACTTAGCCTAAAAGTGAGTCGAGGCTTAGAAGTGAAACCCTGAAGATAGAAACCTGATCGAGTCAATCCCAAAATGGTTCAGATTCTACCGTCTGTTGCCAAGTTTCTTAAATATCTGATTTATTGTCTTAAGTAGAGGTGGAGGTGTTCCAGGCACGTCCAGCTGGGAAGAGACCAAGGGGTAGACCTAGGACCAGGTGGAGGGATTATATCTCTTCGCTGGCCTGGGAGCGCCTTGGGATCCCCCAGTCAGAGCTGGTTGATGTCGCCAGGGAAAAGAAAGTTTGGGGCTCTCTGCTGGAACTGCTACCCCCGCGACCCGACCACGGATAAGCGGGAGAAGATGGATGGATGGATGGATGGATGGATTGTCTTAAGTATGTCATTATATTATTTGATATTGATGAAAGACTCCTGTGGCTGTGCTGCTGCTATGGACATAGTTTCAGGAGTCGTTGTTGCTAATAAAAAGACTGTTTGGTCATCATCCAGACCTTTGCCATTTGGCTGCAGTGCAAACCTTTGAATGACATCTAACAGTGACATCTGACATTTAACTCTACTGAGCCGCGCAGAAGCTACTGTATAGACTAACACAGCATGCATAAGCAGTGAACTGACTCACATCTCCATATAGATTCAAAGTTGACTAAAATGAAAATGAAAGCTAAATGTTGGACTCTGAAACACAAAACTACACCTTACTGCATTGTAGTAAAAAAAGGGTTTACATATGGATGTAATTGCGACTGTTGAACACACTAACTATTTTAATGCTGCACATTAAGAATGAAAGACACACAGTCGGACTGGGTTGGTAAAAACTTTTTGGGGATTTTCACCACTGACTGACTGATAAGCCAGCACATGTTTGGTATTTTATTCAGAAAAGGCTATTAATGTACTCACATCATTTAGTAATGGCGCATTTCCACTGCAGGCCTCGCTCGGCCTCGCTCGGTTTGGTTAGGCCTTATTAGGCCCGGCTCACTTTAATGCTGCGCTTCCATTACAGTTTAGGAACTGGGGTAGTTACTATAGTAACGCAGTGTAGGCGGAGCCGTGATGTCATCTTCAATGAGCGCCCCAAAAAACAACACAGCCGTTAGCTCTTAGCACTCAGAGCTCACAGCTCTTCATATCTGTTCAGAAACTAGACAAAAGTTAAACAAGTACAAACCACAGACTGCCTGTGTCATGGCGAATACAGTCGCTGGTTTATTTATGTCTGTATAGGCCGTTGTTGTGAGTGTGGACGGTCGGAGCATAACGTTAGCTTAGCCAAGCTCCATTTAGAAAACACGCATTTTAAAAGGGTTTTTCGCCTGCCGTCTGTCTGCAGACTTGTCAAAGCATTAATTCATGGTTTTACTAACCGGTATCAGTATGTTGTTACTTCGGCATCATTTTGAAACGTGTATTACAATTAAATCACGGTCAAATATGTTCATCTTGTTGTAGTTGTAGCCCCCTTGCCAGCGATTCTCTCTCTAGTTTAGCATACTCAGCCCGACTCAGCCTGGTTGTTCCTGGCCCTAGAACCACGATTTAGTCGGGCCATAAAAAAGGTGAAAAAGTAGCCCCGGGCCAAAACTAGGCCAAGTGGAAACGCAACCAAAAACGGGCCCCGCACGGCTCGGCACGCTTAAAGCGAGCTACCCGCTGCAGTGGAAACGCGCCATTACATACTACCATACTGATGCCCCTAGCTTGAACCTTGCAGATGTGACATTTAGCCTAACTTTACTGAGCTGAGCACAAGTTACACTATATCATATCAGACTGTATATTGTTATAGTCTATGATATCAACACATTCTGCCCAAGCACTACACAGTAAAATAAAGACCGGCACATCTAAATCTCTCCGGTCAAAATGTCGCTTATTGTTTAGGTGTCCTTTGACACGCAGGCAGTCATATCATTAGCTAGAACTAGCTAGATTTGATCGATATAGAGAGAGATCAGAGATCCGCTGTGATGCGGAGCAAAACACACACTTCAAGTTAGATCATCACACTATTTTAATTACCTCTCAAACTACCTAAACTAGTTATAAATATGTTTATTTTGACTGTCGGGTCACTCATTACTGGATCAGCCAGCTGAACGAGACGGATACTGATGGGCTGTCAGGAGAGGGTGAGGAAAAGAGAGGCTCAAAAGCCAGAAATCTAGGTGTAGTCATGGACTCTGACCTGAGTTTCAACAGTCACATTAAAACAGTTACTAAATCAGCCTACTATCACCTAAAGAACATATCTAGGATTAAAAGACTAATGTCACAGCAGGATTTGGAAAAACTTGTCCATGCTTTTATCTTCAGTAGACTGGACTACTGTAATGGTGTCTTCACAGGTCTCACTAAAAAATCTATTAGGAAGCTGTAGCTGATTCAGAACGCTGCTGCTCGAGTCCTCACTAACACTAAGAAAGTGGATCACATCACTCCAGTTCTGAAGTCTTTACACTGGCTTCCTGTGTGTCAAAGAATAGATTTCAAAATACTGCTGCTGGTTTATAAAGCACTGAATGGTTTAGGCCCAAAATACATTTCTGACCTCCTGCTAAATGATGAACCATCCAGATCTCTCAGGTCTTCAGGGACTGGTCAGCTTTCTGTCCCCAGAGTCAGAACTAAACATGGTAAAGCAGCGTTCAGTTATTATGCTCCAAATATCTGGAACAAACTCCCAGAAACCTGCAGGTCCGCTGCAACTCTGACTACTTTTAAATCCAGACTGAAGACTTTTCTTTTTGTCGCTGCTTTTAATTGAACTATTCATATCTTAGACTGCACTGTAACTTTTATCCATGTACTTTTTCTTTTAATGTTTAATTGCACTGTAACTTTTATCCATGTATTTTTTATTTTAATGTTTATTTTATTAGCTTTTCTTTTTAATGACTGATTTTAAATGCCATTTTCTTAATCTCTTTCATTTTTTGTAAAGCACTTTGAATTGCCTTGTGTTGGAAAGTGCTATATAAATAAACTTGCCTTGCCTTGCCTTGCCTTGCCTTGCCTTGCCTTGCCTTGCTCCAAGTATTATTCTTATATTATTATATAGAGTCGTTATTAATGTGTTTTAAAGCTCAATAAATAACAAAGAATACCTCTGACCGGCACTTTTCTAATTTTGTCCGGAAGATTTCAACTTTAACGGACATGTTGAAAGACGAGAACAAATTCTAACGGAAACTCTGCCGCACGGTTCCCTCGTATGTACTACAGCGTCTCCAGCGGGTCGAGCGGTCTCGTGTGGACGGACACGTTTATTGAGCCGATTGCGTTTGGACGGAAGACTTTTTTGATATCGAATTCTGTTCGTTTTCGTTTCCTTGTAAACGGAGCCTTAAATGAAACGGAGCTAAACGGAAAATTAAAGGCGGTGCTTTCATGTAGAAACAACACTACGATGTAGAAAGAAATGTGGGGATTACTGGTTATGCAAATTCAAGAATCACCAAATGAGTATTCTTACTTCTTAGCCGTGTAATGGAATATTTAAGCAGCCTTGAAAAATAGGGTTAAACAAATGTATTTCCTTGCCAAGTTCCTCTCAAGTAGTTTCATTTCGTTTAAATGCAGTGGTGTCAACCCCTACAATAGAGAGGTAAATATTGTACTTTTAGTCCACTACATTACCTTTAGTTACTTTACAGATATGGATTAATGATTAACATAAATATGATCAACATAATATATATATACATATACATTCTGAAATGGGCCAATCTGCATGAGTACTTTTGGTACTTTAAGATGCCAATACTTTTGTACTTTTACTTGAGTAACATTTTGATTACAGGACTTGTAACAGAGTATATTCCTACACTCAGGTACTTCTACTTTTACTTAAGTACAAGCTCTGAGTTCTTATTCCACCTCTGGATTTAGGTATCCAATTGAGTTAAATGAAACTGAAAGCTAAACAGAAATTGAAAGGTGGAGCTCTTTCATGCACGAAACTAAACTGCGATGTTTCTACGATAAAGTCTGATTATGCCAATTCAATAATCACCAAATAAGTATTCATATAAATATGTAGGGAGATATACTCAAAGCTAGTATGTATTACTAAACTAAGCATTCACAGGCTTTTAAGCTTAAACTAAAACATATTTAAAGTAAAGTTACAGTAAATTGTGAAGAATAGTTTCAGGGGGAAACGAAGCCTGGGAACAGTGGCATCAGAATATGTACAGATAGACCTGTGGGTTGTTTAATGACTCGCTGTAACCTCTGCTCCTGTCTGACTGAAGAGCACAACACGAGCACAACGATAGCGTTATAAAACTGCTGCTGTCGCCTTACTTTCAATATTTACCCTACTGTATAAAAAGGTGTTTAGCCACTAACTACAACTCTAACATTCACAACACTCGGCTTTGCCAAAGGGACTGGCGGACGTTAGGTCACTCGTGATGTGAAGCGGGTTGTAGTGGAATGGAAGGTGACACCTAAACAAACTTGTTTCATTTCAATTCAATAAGGAGAACAACCCGAAATAGATCAAAAGCGGAACAGAAAAGGAGAACAGGTCCTCTTACCTTATAAGAATCCGTCGCGAGCAAGAAATTAAAATCCTGTGCTGCCATTGTTGTTGTGGATGAATGAATGTCACGTCAGTGTCCTCGTAGCAATTAGAGACAACCTGAGCCCGGAACAGCAGCAGAGGAATGAAAAACCTCACGTCGAGTTACTGTGGAGGTGAGCCCTGAGTGTTTCCACTCAACGCACTTTCAAATGTTACAACAGCACAGCTCCAACACAGCGTTAGTCATTTTGTAGGTTGGGGGTTATTGTGAAGGGGCGGGTTTCAGGGTTTCACTACGCATGGCCCCACGCACGTCCCCCTCTCCCCGCCTACGTCATGCTGCATTTACGGACAGCACGGTTTTTTTGGACGACATAAACGAAACACGTTTTGGGCAGTTTTCGGAATATGCTGTAGCCTATCTGGCTTTCTTTTTAAATTATCTTTTTACATTATCCAGACGTTTCTTGTTTGACATGGAGCAGGCAGTTTTGTGACCTTATTTCCCACAATATCTAAAAATAATATATTGAATATTTCGTATAATTTGAAGGGAAAATATACATTTCATTTGATACAAATGATGTACAAAACCATAGACAGTCCTGAATCCCTTAATGTGTGTCACGAAAATATTAATGAGGTTTGATTAGTTTTAGCCAAAGAAATCTTTTCAATACTATTGTGAAATATTATCCCTGTTTTCCCAACAGACCGTGAACTATAATGTCCCTCGTTTGAGCCTACAAACATGGCGGCTATCATAGTTTTAGCAGTTTAGGCCTATAGGTGGCAGACTGACACAAATTCAGGCCGGAGTTTGACTCACCCAAACCACCACACCGTTCATTTTGTAGGCTAACATTATGTGTTGAATAAGTATCCTTTTAAATGTGGCCATTATGTTCATTTTGGAGGATTACACAACACTATTTGGGACTGACTAACAAGTAGTCAGTCCGAGTTTCCAAGGAAGGTCTGAACTTTCAGAAACTCTTTTGTAATATCCATTATATTATAGCACATTCAAATGCACAAGGCTAGATACACAAACAAGAGTGAGACACAGTTGAAATGTTTGATTATGATCTTGTATTCAAGCATTAGGCATATCAGGAAATCCACACACACATTCACTGAAATTTAACATCAGCTTCAACAATGTGGTTAGTAGGCCTAACATATTTTAGATTACATTGTTCATACACTGCACACTAATAAGGATTACATAAACAATTAATATTAAGCAATAGATATTGATCCTAGGTAACATGACTGTAATTATAATATGAGACTCCAAAATGCTTGGCTTTATTGAAATGCGTTATTGCACAGCTACTTCAGAGTAACCAGCAAGTTATTATTACCACGGTGAACCAGTAGGCGGTGCATCAACTCACTTCTCTCTGCCATCTTGTGAATTATGTCATCTTTGCCAAGTCCCATAAGAATACCCTTCTCTGTTGCCATTAAAAGAAGCACTTGAAGTTTCTCTTGACTGAGGGTGGTTCCTAGGCAGTTCTTTACAAATCTCAGGCTAGAGAAGGACTTATCACAGGTTTACCTGAGTAATGTACATGGTGTGGGAAAATGAAAGCCCAAACCACTGATGTAATACGCATACGTGAGCAGATACCTCTCTTTACTAAGAGAAGAGAAGAAACTGCCTGATCCACTGCTCCACGGCTCCAGCTCCACACTTTCATATGGATCCTCAAAGCCTTCCACTTATTAAGGGGTGTCTCAACATTTTTCACTGAGGTCAACATGCAGAAAAACATACAAAGGACTGGGCTCCTCACTAGAGGGATATTGCCTCGTAATTGAAGTCATAAGTTAGTCAAATCAATCAAATGTCTGTAAATTATTCTTGATACTTGAATATACTTTATGACAAACAAACAGGCTCTTCATAGGATTTCATTCATTTAGTTACAAACAGTGCTGGCAGCTCATTCCTTCAAACAGAAGGCTCAGATTGGTTATCATAAGGTGAAACAGGAAGGTTATAGCTGACATCCTCGTGGATTCATCTTCTTATTACAGACACATGCATTTCCTAACATTCGGTCTATATGCTGTAAAATGTATTATCTCTTGGATTTCCACACGGCATCTATTGCACGTCTGTCCGTCCTGGGAGAGGGATCCCTCCTCTGTTGCTCTCCCTGAGGTTTCTCCCATGTTCCCTTTAAACTGTGGGTTTTCTCTGGAAGTGTTTCCTTGTACGATGTGAGGGTCTAAGGACAGAGGGTCTAAGGACAGAGGGTGTCGTTTTTCTCATACTGATATTCTGAACAATCTGTGCTGTTGTATTTGCTGTAAAGTGTCTCTACTGCTATTTTTATTATATGTACAGCACTTTGGCTCCACCAAAAATCGTTTATAAATGTGCTATATAAATAAAACCTGATTTGATTTGATTTATATTTCAAGCTTTTTCAGGCTTTTTTATCAACTAAGATTTGTTTGAAAATGTTCTCAACTTTAATTGACTGCGTTTATTTGAAAATGGGGCTTATTAACACATGAATACCAATGTGTAATATGTTCACATATATATTTAAGAAGTATAATATAAGACAAGCACAAGTTTCATGTGTGGGCCATATTCCACTTTACTTTTGGAATTTGCTGCGGGCCAATAACATTTTTACTACGGGCCGCAGTTGGCCCCTGGGACGTAGTTTGGACACCCCTGCACTAATTCATCACTTGCGGCAGCCCTGAAGTGCAGATGTCTCACTGTTGTGCAAGGCTGACCTGTTGGCACGTTAATAAATTGCCCATTTCCTGATCTCCTTTATGTCTGTCTTTGAAGGCTCTTTTGTTTGATCATCTCTGGAGAATGTTTCGGATCCCTGGAAGGAGAGTTTTACCCACAACACTCAATTGCTGCATAGCGGCAGTAAATACTTTCAACTAGTGTCCAGTTTTAAAAAAAAATTAGTAATGGGCTTGTCTTCTGCCAACTCAACTTGATTTCTCCTATTCCTCCTGCTTTTACTCTGGGAAAGCTGTTTGAGCTTGGACATCACAGTCTTGCACAGTCTCCAGAGGGCCATTTTCCCACTCAACAAACTCTTCAACTGCCCTTATCACACCCTCAAAGTCTCAGGCACACTTTCTGAGGTTGTCCTCTGCTTCTTTCAACAAGCGTTGTGCCGTGTCCATGACATTTTTTGTGCAAATACTTCAAGATGGGGAGTCTGCTGAAAAATCCTGAGATATGTGGCTGTTGGTGTGTTCAATACCTCTGGAGAGAATCCTTTGATTTCTGGGTCTTGCAGTCGAGCTTGGCAAAGCTTACAAAAACGTTCTTTAAAGCTGCGTGTTTCACAAATTACCCCAAGCCATGTGTCTCCTGTCCTCTGTTAGCTTCATGTACTTGTAGGACTGTCAAATAAACACCATGTCATTCATGGTTTCAAAAAAGTATTTTTGTAATGTATATTAAGCCTCTGATAGGGCTATATGTTCTAATGAGGTTCACTCAGTAATACAATTGGTTTGATTTTGACAAAGTAAAATGTTGTTATTTAGCATTTCTGAGGCTTTTCTATGTCAATTTATTTATGTCAAATCAATTTATTCTATTTAATGAAAATCCTCAATTTCACACTTACAAATTGTGCATTGTTCTTCTTTTACTCTTGTGTTTTGCAGCTTTCATCCATTATTTAGAAATGATGCCATCTTCTGAAAGTAGTCCTTTACTGTGCCATCTTCATTGTAGACTTGATGCTGGACCAGTTTCTCTCAATAATTCAAAACAAAAAAGTAATTCCTTTTTACTTTTGTGTATGTAACCCCATTTTTCTCATTTGAGTTAACATCACCTATGTTCTGCCCCATATCTCTACATGCTGTGCTGTCTCTGGCTGCTGACATTGTTCACATCACCTGGTGTGGTGCTTCCCCAATACAAAAGGGTGCTGTTCATATTGGGGTGTCCCACTGTCATTTAGGTCAACTTCACTTGCTCCCTCCTTTTTCCCTTTCTGCACCGCCCATTCTGCTTTGTAAGGAATACGTGTCTCACGTTTTGCTTTCTCCCCAAACTGTTGCCAATCCTGGTTCATTTTTTTTAATGGAACTTTTTCTTCTAAATGTAAAGTTTTAAGACCTATGATTTTGGTCTAGAACTTATGTGCCAACTGTGCATGCAGCCTGTTGCAGTTGCTCCTGCTATTCAACTTTTTAATTCTTATTTGATCTTACGTGTTCTTTTTTTGTCAATAACTTCTATTAATAACCTATTAAGCTGCACCCTCTCTTAAAGGTCCCCTATTATACTGTTTTTCATCAATATATTATAGGTCTCAGATATATACAAAACATGTCTCTGAAGTGTTTGTCTGAAACACCAAACAGATCATTGCAGCATCCCATAATCCCCTCTGTTTCAGCCCTGTTTCCAAAGTGCTGATTCTCTGTCTGTTACTTTAGATGAAAATAAGGAGCCCCTCCCCACGCCCCTCTGAGAGAGATTTGGTTACAAAGAACTCAATGGTGCTCTAGGAGGAGATTCAGGTGATAAGGGGGGGGGGGGGTTACCTTGGTTGCTGATTGGCCAGTGGCGGCGCCAGGGGCACGCTAGGGGGTGCACCCCCCAGGATAGCCATAGCACCCCCTAAACACCCCCAAGAAATGTATGTCTTTTTTTGATGTGTGAAATCCATAATTTGAAAAAGGATTGATTAGAAAGTAATATGCTACGGTACAAGTAGCCTCCTTCTGGGTCTCTGTGTTTCATTCAAGCTCTGCTCTGTGTGTGTGGCACAAGCCATTTTGTGTGCGTGCGCGAGCGAGAGAGAGAGAGCGCGCACCGGTACCGGAGATCGTTGTGGTTAGCATCTGGTGCTAGCTAGCCAAGCTAACGGATACAAGGAGCTTTTTCAACAACAAGGTGGAGGGAGAACTCTCTACTGTCAGACTGAGAGTCTCAGATAACCTCAGCTCAGGTAAAGTAAAGGACTCTCTGTGTTTAGATAGTTAACTTTAGTCTAGTTATCTCAGTGGGTTTCAAACGGTTTGGTCACGATTAATGTAAATAAGTATTTCTGAGGCAAATATATGATCATTATAGGTATAAAAAAACAAGAGCTTAAATTAAAAACAGGTATGAAATACTATATCACAGTAAAACAAGAATACAGTTTAAAAGGTGTGATTTGTAAAATATCCATAAAGAAAAAGGAAATCTGTTTACAGTTCTGTTTCATCTGGGTGCTGAGAGAGGTATCCATAGATCTCTTCATGTTGCTCTCAAAGTGCACCAGATTGATGCTT